GCCCAGGAAGACAGCGCCCTCCCTGGCCTCCAGGAGCTTACATGACTGTGGGGTGTATTACACCTGGCCCTACGAAAATGTCAGAACAGCTTAAGGTCACAGAAAGCATCCACCCAAGCATAGCTAAATGCCAGAGTGCGTGATCCAGGCGATAAACCCTGTGGACTGTCAGGAGAACAGTGGTTTGTAGACCAAAATTATCTCACAGCGTGGAAGGCTGCTCGAGGTTTCATGCCGTATCTCTGAAATTGTGTGGATTTTGCACTCCAGGCAGTCACCCGTCTTCCATGAGCAAGACCATCCTTGGCCTGGCCCTGCCTGTGCCTCTCAGCCTCAACGGGCTGGACCCCCCACCCTGCAGGAAGCCGCCTGGTTTCCCTCCCTCCGGGCAGCCCCCCATCCCCCCCATCCTTGTTAGTCTCACCCAGCCCAGGGCACCAGTGAGCGAGAGCTGTGCCCGCCCCCAGCCTGGTGCGCCCCCTCAGTGAAGCAGGAGGAAGGCTCCCCACCCGCCCCCAGCTGCACTGGCACACCGGAAGCCCAGGAACCGTGGCCTCAGTGCTGTCATGAAGGGCCCAGGGCAAGGCCCGTGGGAGTCCTTTGTCGAGCCTCCTTGCAGCACTTCGGAGCCATCCACAGGCCTTCCGAGCACCGGGCAGGGGTTCTGGCGGCCCGCCTTCCTCACACCGTGACCTCCCTCCCGAGCTTGGCCGTTCGCCTGGTGGACTCAGCCCCAGAACCCCTTCCCGGCAGCCCCTCTGCCCAGGTCCCGAGTGGCGCCAGCGAGATGCCAGGCTGTCCACGTTTGTGCGGCCTGGACACACGAGCAGGCGCCCTCCCGGCGTCCTGACCACTTGCAGGAAGGCGGGCAGCACAGGCCCCTCCCACACCTGGGTTGGGTCAGCTGCTCTTCTGGCCGGCGCAGAGGTGACTGAGGGAAGCAGAGAAGCCCACTGCGCAGTCGCTTCTCGCCCTTTGTGGCCCGTGGTGGGCTGCCCTGGCACCACCAGGGCAGTCCTGGCCAGAGCACACGGACCGGCAAGGGGCAGGGATGCAGGTCAGGGACAGACTTGGTGGCTGCACAGACAGGGGACCTCGGGGGGGCCGTTCGCCAGAGCCACCGCCTGCAAACCATCCAGGCGCTGACCAGATGGTAACGGTGAGCAGCCAATCGTGTGGGCGGGGCCTTCCCGCCACCCTTGGGTGGCCAGCAAGTGCCCCACTAGGGCTGAATGCTGCCAAGCCTCTGAGTCTGCCCCTGTGCGTGGCATGCAGCAGGTGTCCACAGAGACCTGCCCCAGGGATCAGCATGCTGCGGGCACCACGTGGGCCAGGACCATGGCCTAGGGCTGCGCTCACAGGCGGTGCCGAAGGCTTGCCGACCTGAAAGCATCGTCTGTCAGCTAGGATACTGGACAGGGTCCCCAGCACCCTGCATCTGGGTTGGCAGCAGTGCAGGGGAGCCCCTGGGGTGACGCATCCCCAAGGCCCTCCTGGATGGCAAGATACCACCAGTCAGCACTCGGGCTCAGGTGGCCTGCATCTCCGGCCAGCTAGCTCTGCAGTGACTGCCCCACCCACATCCTGAGAGCAGTTGGCGAGAGTCTGTGCCTCCCTGCGTCTGTGCCCACGCTTGCTGTTGCCAGACTTGCCTGCCCACTGCGCTGGTGGCGTCGTGTGGCATCACGTGCCATTGCCTCAGTGACTAACGCGGTACAGCCTCTTTCCATATGCTTTTTTGGCCATTGTTTACTTTTACTCTTTTTTTTGTTTTTGAGTAATTTATAGACATGCTTAAAGCCAAATAGTTCCAGTAGGCATATGTGATGAAAGCCAGGAGATCTGCTCTTTCTTTCCAGCCCCCCAAGACTAGTTTGCAGCTCTTCTCGATGTTCTTCAGGTATTTACCTCAGTATTTCTAAACAGCATGCTGTGTTCTTTCTTGATTTAAACATTATCTGTTTACTGTGTTTTGATGGATGAAGTTTAAGGATCCTTGGCCCTGCTCACATTTTTGTCCTTACCCCAACCATACTCCGAGTAGACTCAAAACTCATGTTTTTATTAAATCAGCAATCACTCTTCGTCTTATGACACCTCCAAAATCATTGTTCACCTCTGAAGCCGGTAGCACACTTCATTTCATTTTTTATATAGCTTTTTGTTTTTCCTGGAATTAATGATTGCCTTGTCTTTTTGCTTGCTTTGTCTTTCATCTTCATAGACCATTTTTTCCTAAATGGTTCCAAAATCTGCCACACTTCTACCATTTACTTTTCTCCACCAAGTGCTTGGTTATGTCAGGTATTCTGTCCATGTCCCCCTTTTTTCCTAGAACCCCTGTCTCTCTGCTCCCAACAGGTCCAGTGAGATGTACTTCTGACATCCTGGATCCCCTGTGGGCCGGAGCTTATTGCTCCTGGCTCCTGAGCCTTTTTTTTCCCCTTGTTTACTAAAAGAGATACGTACTGTAGTATTTTCCCAACATGGTTCATAGAAGATAAATGTCCTAAGTCTTTGTGTGTCTGAAGATATCCCCCGTCTCCTCCCCACACTGGGTTGATAGTTTGGCTGGGTATGAGATCAGATTAGTCGTTCTTCCTCTGCCTCTTGAAGACATTTTTCCATTGCTTTCTAACATGTGGATTGCGCTGGAGAAGCACCCTCTTCATGCACACTATTTTTTCTGTCCAGGTGCTTCTCTTAGGGTCCACTTTTAAATCCTGGGCCCAGTATTAGTCCAGCTGCCCTTTCTCCACACTCACTTTCTGGCACTTGGTGAGCCATCTCGGTCTGAACGTACTCCAGTTCTGGTTGTTTCTCTCTTGATCTCCCTTTTCTCTCCCCTCTTTCTGGAAACCTGGTTAGCTAGCTTGGAGCACCTGCTGGAGAGTGACAGGCAGAAAGCCCCTGCTTTGTGGAGTCCCAAGATGCAAGAAGGACTTTGCTTTAGGGCACGGACTCGCTCGCGTCCTGTGGGGCTGCAGGAGCAGGGACTCGCTCGCTTCCTGTGGGGCTGCAGGAGCAGGGATCAGGCTAGCCCGGTGGCGAGTGTCTGGGCACTTGAGGGCAGGACTGGGGACTACTTCTGAGCGTGGAGGCTGTTCTTCCTTCTAGCCGTGGGCCGCCCTTCCAGAGCACAGCAGAGGCTTGCCTGGACAGCTGGGGCATCCTCTGCACCTCCACGCCCTGCCTCTGCCCACCTCTGGTTGGTGCCCTGCTTCCCCTTTGCCAGGCAGCAGGCAGGCCAGAGCTCAGACAGCTGCTGTGTCTGGCGATGCACGTGGTGGACGTGAGAGAACAGCAAGGATGCCGGATATGAGGGAGGTAGAACTGGGGCATCTGGGCGAGGACGGCTGGCCCACGCCTGTGGCCTGTGGCCTGCTGGCCTGCTGTGTCCAGCAGAGCCGGCGAGGGGGCGGGGCCATGGAGGCAGGCCCTAGAGGGCTCCGGCCGTGGGCGCGAGTGGTGCCTCGGATCCTGAGGGGCTGCAGCGGCAAGTGTGCACCGGGCATGGGCTCCGGCACGTCCAGGCAAGAGCGGGCGGGCAGGGGGTGCGGGCCTGGCACAGACTCCCGTCTGTGGCTCGGTAACCACATCTGAGAAGGGGGCGGGAGCAACCCCCTCTGGCTGCTGGCCCCACAGGCAGGTTCCAGAGTCTGCTGGCCCTTTTCTCCACCACAGGCCCTGTGGGAACAGAAGGGGGGTTGGGGCCCAGGGCCTGGTGCTGTCTTGAGCAGAGAAGGCGCAGCGTCCCCCACCCCGACACCCACCCGGTGCCAGCCACCCTGAGGAGTAGCCGGAGACGTGGCTGGAGCGGACATCCGCCCAGGCACGTGCACCGTGCAGGAAGCCTGGAGGTCAGCGTGAGCCCCAAGGCTGGGGGGCCTCTGTCCGCCCTGCGGGACCGTGTCATGTCAAGTGTGCAGGGCACAGTTTTCATCCAGCCATTTCGTTCTAAGATGTGTCCCGGCTGGGCCGGCAGGCTGAGGGGAGCGTGTCCATCACCACACACACCTGCCATCCTGGTGCGGGTCCCCAGCAGCTATCCCAAGGCAGAGGCCCGGGAGGGTGTGGGGACAGGGCTCAGGAAGCTGAAGTGCAGAAAGGGCAGGAAGCTGGCGGGCTGTGCCTGACTCGCCTGGTTGGGCTGGGCTGACTCAGCACCCCGGGTGGGGAGCACTACAAAGGCGGGACCCTCCCCGCCCCTCCCCACCCACCGCCTGACCGCGCAGCCTGTGCAGAGAAGGTGCAGGCAGGAGGGGGCGGCTGGGCAGGGGCGAGGAGGAAGGGGCGCTGCCTCCATGCTCTGAGGGACCCGGACTTCGGCAGCTTCCAAGCGAGTGGGCACAGCATGGGCATGTCCGTCGCCACCTGGGGGTTGCTGAGGGTGGGGACGGCCTTCCCCAGGGGCGCCATGGCCTCCTGCCCGCTGGGGACGTCTGAGGCTGCCTGGCCCTGGCCTGGCTCCCCTTGCCCGAGACCCACCCGCCCACCAAGTGCAGGAGCAGGCGGGGGCGCTCCCAGAGCACTCCAGCCCCCTCCGGGGCAGACCCCACACACGCCTGGGGCCGCTGGCGGCCTCCGCCGGTCTTGCCCACGTGTCCAGTGTCCCGACGCCCCCCAGAGCCAGCCATCACAGCCCGCCTGGAAGGGAGGCAAGCCGTCCTGGGCACCTGGCGCGTGGGCCATCCTCGGCCGGTTCTCCCTTTACACATCCTGAGGGACAGACCGCCAGCGGGGCTGACCCGAGCGATGAGCCTTGACCTCCCC